AGTAAAGATAAAGATTACAACAAATCTCAGGCATGCTCTTGCGATGAGTGCATGGATGAATGCGAAGCAGGTAAGTCGTTGCTTGTTGCTTTCCTATTTGCAAAAATGAAGAAGACAACAACATGGATCGTACCCTTTTCACGCGTTCAAATCATTTCTGAAATATTCTCAATTATATGTAAAATGATATATCGTTCGACTTGCTACCTTTTTGTTTGCACCCAATATTTTTATTCAAGAGAAAGAATGAAAACGAAAAAAAAAAGTAAACTAAAAAATGATGATGTTTTTGATGTATTTGCTGCATTGGGTGCGATTCTTTGGCATTAATCTTAATAAATGAAATCCCAATCCATTCAATTTCAATATTTTCCATTTTAATTGTAGCAAAAAATAAAGCTTTACGGAAATTGCGCTACTTGATGCAAAAATACAGCGGTGAAAACTAAAAACTCATGGCAGTTGTAATGTATGTACACAAAACAATTCCAAAAATAGGCGCACGGTGGCCTATAATGGTCGATTAAGTCATGCTTCATAGAACCGACCAAACGATCCATACCCTGGTACTTTAAGTGGAAGTGGTGTGAATAACACGCGTACCCAATGCCCGGATAGTTATCATACGCGATTTATGAGATTAAAACAATCTTGCGATACTCAACAGAATAAAGTTGATGCTTACCGTCTTTCCAAGGCATGCGATCGCTGAGTTCGGGCATCGTTACAGCCTGATGATAATCGGATCTCTTGTGTTCGAGTCGACAGCGAAGGTACAACGAATGCGTTATAGGACGATAAATTGGATAACGTCGCAAATTACATAGCGTATCTGTAGCAAGTTTTTGGCTAAATTCCGTCTTATTATGAGTATTCTTCACTCGACAAGCGTATTCTGACGTACTTAATATTTTGTCAATATCTTTGTGGCTGGACGAAATAATAGCTATTATTGAAGATTTAGTGCGACCACCCATCAATTCTTGTGGTGTATGCGTCAACTTCATGGTATGGTACCTGCAAGACACGTATTTTAATCGTCTTGTATATGTGCGCTGTTTCGGGCGTTCCAAAGGGATGCAACGAAGGCAATTTATTTGCTTTATGAAAAATTCAGACCACTTAATGCGCGCGGGAACGTCTTCCTGTAGAATTGAAATTGTCCAAGAAATACGCTTTAATCGTTGTTTTGAAGTAGTAGCGTCTGTAGTAGCGACACTAATTAAGAGGATATTGGTTACAATTGTACAGTTTTTGCTTATGGGCAAACAGGCACAGGGAGCACTAATACCATGGTAGGCACGGAATGTGCCGAATTGGAATCCATATTGATTTTACAATTCTGATATTAGCCTAGAAGCTTTGGGTAATTACTTTAATAAAAGGAATTTCCATGGCGTCGTTCTTTCTTGAAAGTATGTAATGAAAAGTTTTACGGACTGCTATACTCGAATAACTGTACGAAAACATGTATTTCGAATTATAAGCACAACGTAAGATGCGGCTATTATACAAGAATTGGATCATAGTACATACCAAAGGCGACATTTCCAAACTAGTGAGAAAATGTAATGAACGTGCATACGATGCTCTCTTAAAAGCTAATTTGATTAGTTTTTAAAACTAAATTTAATTATTCACTTTTTTCTTTTTTTGGCTTTAACCTTGAGTTCTAGAATATAGGAATGCGATATATACTAAATTTATCATTTCCTAAGAATTTAAATTGTCCTGTCTAATGTGTATTGATATGAGAAAAACTGCATGTGAGCGCGATGACTGAGCATTCATTGAATTGGTCGCTGTTTTCCCACTAGTTTTGAAACGTCATCTTTAGTATGTACTGATACCTTTCCAGTGCTTGTATGATAGCTGAATCCTTCTTTGTGCTGTCATGAAAAATAAGTGTTTTAGTGTTTAGTCCGACGAATTCTAACACGTGTAATCCATCAAAGAAATGAACCAAAGCTCGTGACATTATGACAATATCGTAGTCAAAATCGTGATCCTAAAATCCATTTTTTTGATTTCACATCTTTCTTTTTTGAAATTTACATCATCGCCAGTGGATTTCGATTGATCACATTCCTTACCCACTATGATATGAGTATTGCCTGCACCAGTTTGACCATAAGCAAACACCGACCAGTTGTAATCAGCTAATATTGCCGCAATTAATGGCATACTGATGAGTAGACTTCTGGATGGAATTGATATTCTACGGAAGGACATGCTACGATCTTCTTGGACGGCAAATCTTTGATCGTTTCAGCGGAACATGGAAAGTTCTCACGTGCATTAAATGGTCCGAAATTTTAATAAAGCAAGTAAATTTGCCTTTGCTTTATCCTCTCAGGCTTACAAAACATTGTACTGCGCACACACACCTTCTTACGTCCATAAACCTATATATTTTGATCAGTTTTGTTGTGCGCTTGGTTAGCAGCTTAGTACGAAAGATTTATTTTGATCTAAATAATTTTATTATAAATAACATCATTAACTTTAATACTTGTATATTTTTCGCTTTACCAAACAGAATTGCGCTAATAAAATGTTATGAAAAAAAAAAAAAAAGAGGAAAAGATGTTGCCAGATTTTTTTTGGCGAGCCTTTTTTGTTATAATTCCATATTACCGTTCCATACCATATTCCAGTTATTTTCAGTCAATTATATATAATGGGTTTTCTTTGGACATATAAGCCGCAAATTTATTGACCTGGTCCATCTTAACTTAACATCCCAAATAAAAAGAAGAGGGAATTCTTCATTTCTCCAAATTAAACGAAGTGTACTTTTGCAAATGCTATTAATGCGCAGTGATTGATTGCAAAATTCAAGAGTGAACCGATAACTTAACGGAGAAGAATATCGGCACATTTTCTTTGTAAATATTATTGTGATTTATACGTGTCTTTACCTTAAAGTAAATTTAAAACATAAAATGGTTAACAATAAAAATTCAAGGGTAAAAGTGAAGCAAAAATCGCAGATGAAAACAAAATCCAAGCATATATCATATAAAAATCGTCTTGAAGATCACGCTCAGTTTAATATAGAACAACAAAACAAAAATGTAGGTATACATAGCTGTACCAAGGTATAAATCAGTAATTAAACAAATAATAATACAATACATTTTCCATATCCATAAATAAATATCCAGTGTCTAAGTTGCTTGTGAATAACTTGCTCTGTCTCTCTCTTGTTTTAAATAATCTGGTTGCACTGATTATTCCAAGGACTTTTAATTGTTTCCAAAGTGTTGGTAGGTTATTTTTTATATTTTGGCTAGATTGATCTGACACAAACCTTGTCCATTATGCAGTTAAAGCATTGAGAGTTTATCATTACGTTTTGGTACCATTCATTTGATTGTAGCAAATTATTTCATACTTTTCTGGTTGCACCGAGCTCTGCGGTGTTCGTGTTTCAGAAAAATTTCGCCTTTCAATCGATTTTTGTACACGATCGGGATCAGTCTATAATTTTCTGCAAATTGTACATTAAAAAACTTCATACATCTACAAGTAGTACAAGTAAGTGCAGACAATCAGATGTATGTAATTTTAGAAACTTGTTATTATTGATGTTACAAAAAATAATTGAAAAAAAAAAATCCGCATTATTATTTGAAACATTTGATAAATATTTAGTTTTTCATTTACCTTCTTTTCTTTTAGAGAAAATTTCAAAAAATAGAAGAACAAAAGGTGTTACGTTCCCAAAAGGCTTTAGAAATAGCGGAAGGACGAGCAAAAGAAAGAGCAGAAAAGGAACGAAGGATAGAGGCGTCTAAAAAGAAGCGCTTAGAAAGGACTAAAATCTTCAGCAAAAGGACGCGAAATGGCCAACCTCTGATGAAGGATCGTATGCAGTTGCTGTTAAAACAAATTCAAGAAATGAAAAATTATGGCTAAAACAATTTGAACAAACAAGGTTGCGAGAAACTTGAATACAGTTTTGTTTTAAGGTCTTTTCCGAAATAAATATTTATTTTATATTGTAAACGGTAAATTCATCACCTACTTCCTTAAGGTATTGCATTACTAACTACCCGTAATGATTGCTGGCGCACCAATAATTCATAAAATTTTCCTTTGGCAGATCAAAGGTTATAAATAGACAAGAACGTCCTTATGATATAATTTGGTACTACAAAATGGAACCGATATGAACTCATTTATTCATAATAAGGATGAGTAGGCAATCTCTGCCGATGTGTCTACCGGATATCATGGGTACTATCGTAGAAATTTGGTCTTAAACTTTTCTTTCACATCAGGTTAGCTTCTCGAAAACCGTCTAACGTAGTACACGGGCTTCATCCAAAATCAGTAAAACGATGATCACTATCATTTGTTCTATGTTTTGGTGTCAAGTTATTGTTCTTAAAAAAGTTTTTACTAAAATGATTGGGTCAGGTTTGACCACCAATTCAATCGGATCAGATTTAGCGAAGAATAACATATAAATTTCCCTTAATGTGTACTTATGGCCGTTAGTTTGCGCAATTAATAGTAAGTTGGAGTCAAATTGTACAGGAATATGATATGAGTATAGGCGATTCTGCATATAAGGTATTCCGAGTGAGTGAGTGGATCTTCACTCTATATTCTGCAACCAAATATCGTACATAAAGTGAAGGTAGGCTAATTCGGACGGAGCCTTTGATTTTGAATTATATTTGGTAAAGCTTGGCAACTACCAACCCTTGGGTAAAAATGCAGAAATAACTTCGCTAACGTTTTCGGGAAGAGTTTTGCAATATTTCACCGAAAATCACTTATCACATTTTATACCACCAGTTTATCTTCTCATATCCACTATCGAAGGGAGGGATGCACTACTTATCCCACAACGTTTGCGACACCCAAAAGCGAAGTTCAGCATGTCAACATCTGTGTACTGTATGTGCTAAGCGTTCAACTGACCATGAACATGACGAGATTGCCTTCCCACTTGAGAAAAACATTGGAAGTAGTTGCACAGGTTGGTATGGGAAATGGGCCAAATCCGTTGGAGGACACGCCCTCAGCACCACATAAACTAAGAACACCTCTGTTTTTCGAAAAGAATAAAAAAAATTGACTTTTGGCCCATTACTCATAGCCAATGTAGCCGACAAATCTGTGAAAGTGTGAACGTATTTTGCATGGGAGACGCTGCAGTACTTGTTCAAAAATGAGACAAATCGGCCGCGCCTACCCAATATAGTGTATCGCACTCAAATTCGTTTCTTAATGCCTTCCAAACGTGCAGGAGCAACCTTCAAACTCCCGTAACGGTTAGAAATTCTTGGCCAGTTTCAAATTCGGAACGCACCTAAGAATTTCCCTCTGTCCATGCGTCTGTGTGCTCAAATATATAATGTGTAGTATCTGCGCTAAATATTCTTCCGTTCGCAAAAATGAATAGATCGACTGCAAATCTACAAAACAATTTGAAAATGGTCCAAACAAAGAATAATATCGTAACACCTAAGTACGAGATTTCAGAATTCACCGTTGCGTAGATAGAACGGCGTTTATTGACCTACATTCTG